TACCTCCCTCCCTCACACTCTGAGGATAAATGGAAAAATGTCTTGAGTGAGCCCCTAAGTGGTGAATTTGTCATCACCTCCCTCAAGGCCAAAGGGATGAATATCTAGCTCCTCCCTTCGCCCACACCAGCTGAGGGATGAGCACAACTTTCCTTTCCCACCAGGGATGAGAACTACAGTTTGGGGAAGAACTTCCTGTTATTTCACTGTTCATTATGGCAAAGTTTAAAATGGGACATCTCCAAGCTCAGCATGAATGTTGCCTGAGGTTCTGGGTCTTGGGATGAAAGTTACAGCTGTTCCAACTCGCCCTCTGTTGGCTCAGCCATGGGCACTGGCCTTGGTCACTTTTTCTCCTCCACTCCCTCTTGCTGCATGACCTCAGCTGAGTCACTCTCCCTCTCTGGACCAATCTCATCAAGTGCTGTGAATTCTCCCCTCAGGATCCTTGGGGAGCAGGGAGGCAGTAGGTCACTAGGGTGAAAACAACTTATATTCAGCTGTCTGGAGCACCTGGGATATCTGTCAGGGTAGGGCATCCTGAGGGACTGAAGAGGATGCCTCACCAGGAGGTGACCTGCCCTCCTTCCCCTTTGGGGGAACATGGCCTCGGTTTCTTTATTTGTAAAATAGCATGATTGGTGAGTGTGTCCATAGGTTAAAGAAAGATAGACAGGATGAAATATCATAGGTAGGCAGACAGATGATCAATAGATACATAGACGGAATCTACTATTAGATAGATAGATGATAGATAGATAGGTAGATAGACAGATAGATAGACAGATAGATAGACAGATAAACTGATGGACTTGATGTACTATGATAGATAGAAAATAGATAGACAGCCCTGGCCAGGTTGGCTCAACAGTTAGAGTGTTGGCCTGTAGTCCAGAGACACCCGGGTTCGGTTCCCGCTAAGGGCGTGTGCCTCGGTTGCAGTTTGTCCCCGGCCCTAGTTGGGTTGTATGGGTGGCAGCCACTCAATGTGTCCCTTTCACGTCGATGTTTCTCTCTTTCTCTTCCTCTCCCTCCCACTCTATCTGAATAAAAAATGGAAAAATGTCCTTAGGTGAGGATAAAAAAAAAAAGAAGATAGACAGACAGGATGAACTATGATAGGAAGGTAAGATAGATAGGTGATAGGTAGGTAGGTAGGTACGATAGATAGACAGGACACACTATACACGGAGCCTGGTCAGCAGGAGGGACTCATAGGTGGGAGCTGCCCTCCCGATTGATGAGCAGAGTTCACAGCTGTCTCTTGGGGTCTGCTGGGGCTAGAAGGCCCCAGGTCTGCAGACTGTTTGAGGAACTGAAGGCCGTGTGGAACAGCCAGGACATGAAAGTCTATGTGACCAAGACCTAGGGACAAGCGCTGCTGCCACAAACCTCTCCATGGGGACCTCCTTCTGTGGTCCCCAGCCCCAGGCCTGGAAGCACTTTCAGGAAGAGAAAAATCCATCTTTCTGAGTCAAAGCCTCTTTGTGGGCAGAGAACATGCTCTCTCCCTGTGCCCTGAGTGTACCTGGACGACTCGGGGAGGCCTCCAGGACCCACCCGCCCTGAGAAGAAAGAAGAAGGAAGAAGCAGGTTTTCTCCATCCATGCAAAATCCAGACAGTTCCATTGCAGATGCTGCAGGGGGACCTGCTGTGTCTCCTTTTGGGGAGTGACGACCCTGCCTTTCTTTCAGGTCACCCCCACTGAGCAGGGTTTGAGGACGATAATTCAGCTGGTGACCACCTATCCCCAGGGATTTACATTCTGGCTAGGCCCCATCAAACCCTCGACATTTTCTGTCACCCTGACACGGTCCAGGCTCTCACCAATGCCTCAGGTACTCACACAGAGCTTGAGGTGGTGGGTGCCATGACACATCTGAGGCTTCTTGCCTCTCCCTGTCAAGCTTTTGTGTGGCCCCTGCAGGACCTGGCCCTCTTCCCACTGCCCTCTTAGCATCTTCCTCTTTTCTCATGTATTCAAACCTGCATCGCACTGCTTCCTCCCTCTAATGCTGTCTTCCTTCTGCCCTGGTGTCCTGGGCACCACTGGGGCCCCAGTAGGCTTCAATCCAAGGTTCCGTCCTGGGGGAGCTCTCAATCTTGAGGAGATGAATTGGGACAGAAGGATCCCCAACCTGGTGTGGTCAGGAATTGGCCAAATGGAGGATGGAAGGCCTCGTGGAGGAAGAGTTACTGGAACTGGGTCTGGAACAATGAGCAGAAAGTAGTTGTTTTTTATCCTTACCCGAGGACATTTTCCCATTTTTTGTTCAGATAGAGTGGGAGGGAAAGAGAGGAAGAGAGAGAGAGAGAGAGAGAGAGAGAGAGAGAGAGAGAGAAACATCAACGTGAAAGGGACACATCGAGTAGCCGCCACCCGCACAACCAACCAAGGCCGGGGACAAACTGCAACCGAGGTACGTGCCCTTAGCGAGGACTGAACCCGGGTCTCTCTGGACTGCAGGCCGACGCTCTAACCGCTGAGCCAAACCGGCCAGGGCGAGTAGAAAGTTTTTAAAGCAGAGGGTAGAGCAATGCGGTGGGCATTGCTAATATCCCAGGCCTTGACATCCCAGACCTGCCACCTCTCTCCTCCCGCAAGGCCCAGAGCAGCTAGGGCTTACTATTTCTATGATATTCACCTCTGATGGATGAGTTCTTCTACCCTATATTGCAGCTCATCTAGGAATCTCCTCAAGGAAAGCCCACCCCAGCCTGGATCTCTTCCCTTGCTCTCTACCTTTCTCACCCCCCAGATAGATCAAGCTGAGCAAGGGAAAGGCAGCATTTGACAGAGAGCTTGGCTATGACACCAACATTCTGGATCACTCTGGCTTCCCACTGCCGAGGTTTCTTCCAGTTCTTAGTGGTGGAAACAACCCTGTGTGGTCTAATCAAAGAAAGGGAATCAATTGACCGTTAAGTCCGCGAGTGTTGTGTTCAGGCATAGCTGGATTCAGGTGTCAAACAATGTCCTCAGGACTCTGTCTTCATTTTTTAGTTCTGTTTTCCTCTGTGATCTCTTCACTGTCATGCTGGTAAAGATGAATCCCAGAAGCTCAACCCCCATGGAAAAGTGAGCGTATTCCCAACAGTTCCAGAAAAAGTTGCAGGATTCACTTTAATTTGCCTGGTTTGTCCCAGTTCCTCATCTAGTCACTGCCACTCTGATTGCCCAGCCTTGGCAGGCATAGGGTTCTCAGTTATTGCTTTTTTTTATATACAGAAATCACCTTTATTTGGTTGCAACCCTAACTTCATTTTCCTTAAAATAGTACTACTGTTTCACTTTTATTGTTTTTGTTTTTTTTAATCCTCACCCGAGGACATTTTCAATAGTTTGTTCAGATAGAGTGGGAGGGAAAGAGAGGAAGAGAGAGAAACATCAACATGAAAGGGACACATCGAGTGGTTGCCACCCCTATGACCCAACCAGGGCCGGGGACAAACTGCAACCGAGGTATGTGCCCTTAGCGGGAACCGAACCTGGGTCTCTCAGGACCGCAGGCTGATGCTCTAACCACTGAGCCAAACCAGCCAGGGCTCACTATTATTGTTTTTACATTCATGAAAGCAACACAACTGCACCACCAGTGTCCTAGTTATTGCTGCCAAATGTTTATATCTGGGATCAAATAGATCAAATGAATCCCAGATATAAACATGCAATTAAGTACATGATTTGTGCGTTTTGATTTTGTTAACAAGTGATAGAAAAAGATTGCATTATGGGGCGGGGGCACTAAGTTTAGGGACTCTGTCATTTTTATAGCAATTGGAAACAAGCCTGATATTTGTCTAGGGGAGACATTACCTCATCCCTGAGGGTGCTCAGGGACCACGGAGGATTACCTCTCCTAACACAAGGGCTATTTTCCTAATCAATTTATAACAATAAGGATGATGAAAGCTTACATTTATCAAGCACTTACTATATGCCAGAAATAATGCACCAATTCCATTACATATGTTGTCTAATTTAATTTTTATTCCTCTGAGAGGTAGATTATTTTTTCCCCTTGACAGATGATGAAATTGAGTCTCATATCTGTTAGGAAGCTTGCCCACTTTCACACATCTAGCAAGGAAACTAATAAATGGGATTCCAACCTGATTTAACTGACACCAAAGCAGGTCACCTTAACTGTTACTCAAGATTTGACAGGTGGCCCTGGCAGGTTTGGCTCAGAGGCTAGAGTGTCAGCCCACAGACCAATGAGTCATGAGTTCGATTCTGGTCAAGGGCATGTACTTTGGCTACAATTCATCCCTGCCCCTGACAGGGGTTGTGCAGGAGGCAACCACTCGATGTGTCCCTCTAACATTGAAGATTCTCGCTCTCTCTCTCCCTCCCACTCTTTCTGGACAAAAATGGAAAAATATCCTTGGGTGAGGATTTAAAAAAAAAAAAAGAGTTGATAGGTGGAGCCCAGAGGAGGACAATGAGTTGATTAAGGCACACCAAGTATAAGATGCAGAGCTGAATCTTGGACCCAGGTCTCCTGACTCCCAGCCGTGGGGTCTTCATGTCCTAAGATGAATAGCTTATACTCCCCCTCAAGCCTGGTCCTCCCTGGGGATGAGTGTCTGGGGCAGAGGACCAAGACGCAGGGTCTGAGGGACTCTGTCCATGTGGTTGGGGTTGGAAAAGGGCTCAGTGAAGCCCCAGCTCTGTCTCCTTCTCTGTCCAGGTCAAGTGGCAGCGCCTGGCCTCAGAGGACAGCACCCATCTGAACATGTTTCTTTATTTGTTTTTTTATCCTCACCCAAGGACATTTTTCGATATTTTGTTCAGATAGAGTGAGAGGGAGAGAAAGAGAAAGAAAGATCGACGTGAAAGGGACACATCGAGTGGTTGCCACCCACACGACCCAACCAGGGCCGGGGACAAACTGCAACCGAGGGACTTGCCCTTAGAGGGAACCGAACCTGGGTCTCTCCAGACTGCAGGCCGATGCTCTAACTGCTGAGCCAAACCAGCCAGGGCTATCTGAACATGTTTGAACACATCAGCCTCATGACCCTGGATAGTCTGCAGAAATGTGTCTTCAGTTTTGACAGCAATTGGCCAGGAGTGAGTCTGTTCAGAGCCTAGGAACATGTGCCATAGACCCAAGGGAGTAGGTGGAGGGGGGACCGACCAGAGCAGATGAGGGTTGTGATCAAAACTGAGCTTGGACATTTGACTCTAGAGAGGACCAACTGTTGTATAGACACTGGATGGTGTTGACATTGGATGCAAGGAGACTAGGGAGGGGGCTGGGCCCATTAACCAATTAGGAGAGGATGAAGTCTGAGTTGTGAAGAAAGTTTTGGGAAGGAGAGGAGCAGATACTTGGTAGGAGGAGAGAAGAGAAGCATGATGTCTAAGCTGTGCTCTGGGTGCCTGGGGTTTGGAGGCAGCTTAGAGAGAGAAGGAAGTCTGGAGAGGCATGTGCCCTGGATCATCCTACCATGTATTTGTAGGGCCATCTGTTCCTGGCTACTTAGTTCCCTAATGGGAGGCAGCTCTTGGCTTCTGGTGGGAGGTCCACCTCAGGGTTCAAGTGAGCTAAGTTGTTGCTTCTCTACCTGCCCTCATCATGCAGGAGTCCCAGTGAATATATTGCTGCCATCTTGGAGCTCAGTGCCCTCGTGACAAAACGGCACTTTCAGCTCTTCTGGTACTTGGACTTCCTGTACTAACTCACCTCTGATGGACAGCACTTCCATAGGGCCTGCCACCTGGTGCACAACTTCACAGATGCTGTCATCCAGGAGCGGCGCTGCACTCTTCCTGATCAGGTGCTGCGGACTTCCTCAAAGCCAAGGCTAAGACCAAGACTTTGGACTTCATTGATGTGCTCCTGCTGACCAAGGTGGGCTTCTTTGGCATCTGAATTGAAGACATCCAAATGATTCAAATGTCAGATTGAAGAACTTGGATTTGACGCAGAGGGCACTGGGGAGCCATGGAGGGTGCTTGAAGATGAAAGGGATGAGTCAGGGATACGTTTTAGAGATGACCGTATAGTCTGAAACTGTGAAGGGCCCAAGATTTTATTCTACTTCCAAGTTAATAAGTTAGTCTACCATGGATATGGCTGTATATATACCAGAACCATGGATTAGAGTAGCCCATTTATTACTCATAGCAGTAATAGTAGCCAGAGTAGAACTTCAGCTCTGGTTCTCCATTCCCAAATCCTTCTGAGGGCTACATGATGCTTTTACCTGTATGTGCAGTCACGCTTGCATCACAGGAGAGATACCTGCACATTTTGAATCTTGGAACTTATATAGGACAGCTGACACATCTGCCCTTTCTTTGTTATGGGGGGGGGAGGGGGGAGGGGAGAGAGAGATCTCCAGGGAAGATAGAATCTCTGGATTTACCATCCTAGACTGTGACTCACTGGTTCTGGAGCAATGCTCAATTTCTAACTCCCAAGGCAATTCAATAATCTGTAATCCAGGTTTTCAGTAACTTTTAACATCAGAAATCCCTTGTTACCAGGAAGCCATGAGGCCTGTGGACCGAGGCCTCTGGTGCTGAAGAGAAAAGGAGGCCTAGGAGTACAATGCGGGCTTAGATTCCTGCATGGATGATGGAGCTTTGGAAATTGTTGCAGGGGCCCTCAGAGCTGGTGTGATTTGGGGACTTTTGCTTTCTCTTCAGGATGAAGATGGGAAGAAATTACCAGATGAGGACATTCGAGCTGAAGCTGACACCTTCATGTTGGAGGGTGAGAGTCTCAGTGTGGGACTACAGAGGAGGGAGGGGTCTACCTATCCCATGGACTTAGTGGGTGGCTCTGGACCACTCCATCCCACCCAATCTTCCCCACCCTCCCAAAGGACCTTAACATAAGAGTGCTGCCCACCCTCTGGTGCTGAAGCAGCCAGAGACCCAAGCCTGTCTGACTGCCTCTCAGGCCATGACACCACAGCCAGCGGCCTCTCCTGGGTCCTGTACAACCTCGCAAAGCACCCAGAATACCAGGAACGCTGCCGGCAGGAGGTGCAACAGCTCCTGAGGGACCAGGAACCTGTAGAGATTGAATGGTGAGTGAGGTCTCTTCCTGAGCCCGTCTCGTTGGCTCTGCTCCCGATGTGGGGAAGAGGGAAGATCTTTTTGTTGATTCTGTCATTTTGTCATCCCATTTAGTGGGAATGGAAGCAGAGCCCAGAGGCAGGATCTAGTATCCTAGTGGCCCCCAGAGCTGATGTGATTTGGGGAGTCTTGCTTTCAAGTATCCAGCCTGGATATCAGAAAAAAAAAGGTTACAGGATTTTGGGACTGAAAGATCTGGGCTGCTGAGAGAATTAGTGACAATGTGTAAGGGCAGATGATGCCACTCAGCACATACTCAGTATCTGAACTTCCCCCTCAATCCCTTCCTTTTCTCTCTGCAATCATATTTTAAAAAATATCTTCATTACCTGAATATTTTCTCATCTCCTGCCTCCTAATTCCTTGCATATTGTTCAGTCCAGGATTCCCAGGGGACACCCAAGGAATAAAGTCACTCTGCTCTTGTCCTGGAACACCTGAATCTTCATCCATCCAGTCCCTATTCAACAAACTTTGCCACACTGCCCTCCCATCTCCAATTTTGTGCCATCTCTAATTCTTCCCAGCTCCATTCTGTGTCCTGGACACCCAGGAACAACCCAGAGCAAGCCTTAGCCTTCCAGAGTTCCCAGCCTGGTGGGGGGTAGTCCCAGCTCAGGATACTCCCTGTCTTCATGGGCAGGGCTGAGGTTGACAGTAAGATGGGCAAGGCTGAGGGTGAAAAGAGTGTGTCAGCTGAGACCCTGAATGCTGATCAGTAGATATTTGCATGGATTTGGGGTACAAATAGGTAAAAAGAGACAGCCTGGGCAAAGTGAAGGTGTGGGAGGAGAAGGGCAGAGGGAGATGGAGAATGGAGCAGGAAGGAAGGCAAGAGAAAGGAGAGGGAAAGAGGAAGAAAGAGAGGGAGGGAGGCAAGGGGAGAGAGAGAGAGGAGAACAGGTCAGATCTGGGTGCTAGAGAGATCTTTCTAGGGCTGGTGTGGGGACATACTGGAGGGGACAAGCTGTGGAATGGGAGCAGAGGGAAGAGATTCTGAGGCCTTAGCCAGGCCAGGTGCTGGGGGTTGGTGAGGAGGCATTAGGCTGGACAGGCATTTTGGAGGTAATGTTCTCTACTCCAAGCCTTTGCTCAGCTCAGCAGTCCTGTGAGGGGAAGAAAAATGTTTATGCTTTTTCAACCAAGACTTCAAACATAATTATGTACTTAGTTAAAGAGTACAAAAGAGTTTATAATAAAAATAAACTTCCTTCTGAATCCTCACCCTAGGACTAACTTCCATTAATGATTTCCTGTGTGTCTTTTCAGGGGTGATGTTTTGCAGTTTTCCAATTTTGAATCAGCTATTAAAAATTTAAATCATGCTCTGACTGGTTTGGCTCAGAAGTTAGAACATTGGCCCTCGGACCAAAGAGTCACAGGTTTGATTCAGGTCAAGGGCATGTACTTCGGTTGCAGTTCAACCCTAGCCCTGGTCAGGGTCATGCGGGAGGCAACCAGTCGATGCGTCCCTCTCACGTCAATGTTTCTCTCTCTCTCCCCCTCCCACTCTTTCTAAAGATAAATGGAAGAATATCCTTAGATGAGGATTAAAAAAAAATTTAAATCACCACATAAAAAGAAAGGGATTGAAGAAAAAGAATTTAAGCGTTCAGACACCGTCGTACTGGAACCGCTCAAGCCTAGCAATAGCGAGCACCATCATGTACTTTGACATCGCCGTCGATGGCCATCCCTTGCGCCGCGTCACCTTCAAGCTGTTTGCGGACAAAGTTCCAAAGATGGCAGAAAACTTTTGTGTTCTGAGCATTGGGGAGAAACGATTTAGTTATAAAGGTTCCTCCTTTCACAGAATTATTCCAGAATTTATGTGCTAGGTTGGGACTTCACACGCCATAATGGCACTGGCGGCAAGTCCATCTATGGAGAGAAATTTGATGATGAGAATTTCATCCTGAAGCACATGGGTCCTGGCATCTTGTCCATGGCAAATGCTGGACCCAACACAAATGGTTCCCAGTTTCATCTGCACTCCAAGACAGAGTGGTGGGATGGCAAGCACGGGGTCTTCAGCCAGGTGAAAGACGGCATGATGTTGTGACAACCATGGAGCGCTTTGGGTCCAGGAATGGCAAGACCAGCAAAAAGGTCACCATTGCTGACTGTGGACAACTCTCATAAATTTGACTTGTGTTTTACCTGAACTACCAGACCATTCCTTCTGTAGCTCAAAAGAGCCACCCCTTCAGCCCCATCTGCTTGGAATGTTCTATAATATTCATGCTTTTGCCGCAGTTCATTGAGTTCCATATTTTCTTTACTCTTTCCAAGTCTAGTTGGATTGCAGAGTTAAGCTTATGAATATAAAATAAAAACTAAACCATTGTCAAAAAAAGAAAGAAAGAAAAGAAAAAGAATTTAGCCTCCTTACTGGGTCTTCAATATTTATACAAGTTTTCCAGTGGATTCTCTTGTGTTTTCTAAGTATGAAATCACTATCTAATGGCACATTTACCCCTAAATTTCAAATTACTTTACCTATACTCTCCTTCCCCCTCTTGTCTAATTGCATTAGCTACAAATCTAGTACCGTGATAAACAAAAGTAAAGTAAAATATTAGATCTATTTTTTTTCTTTCTTACTCCTTTACCTTTTGATTTTGCTCTTTTGCTATAAGGAATATTTTCTTTTTTATGCAAATTTGTGAACCATTTTATGGTTGTTCTTGTGTTGTGTTTTGCTCAGAAAATCTTCTAAAAATACCCAACTAAATTTTCTCTAGTACTTCTGTGATGTTGATTTCTTTTTCTTTTAAACCACTTTATTGAGGTATTATTGACATACAAAAAGTTTAATGAACACAACTTAATGAGTTTGGAGATATTTGATCCATCTGGAATTTATTTTGTTATATAGAGAAAAGATCTCATGGAATTGGAGGGGTGGTCTTTGGATTTGCTCCCTGGATAACTGTTGTGGGGGTTCCTTAGGGACGACCTGGCCCAGTTGCCCTTCCTGACCATGTGCATCAAGGAGAGTCTGGGCTTGCACCCCCCAGTCACGATCATCTCCCGCTGCTGTACCCGGGACGTTATGCTCCCTGATGGCCAGGTCATCCCAAAGGTTCTGGCAATGATGGGGGAGGAGTCATCCAGGGCAGAAAGAGGGGCCATCAGGCAGCAAGGACCCCTTCCTGACTGGCCCCTCTTCTCTCACAGGTGTTACCTACATTATCAGTATTTTTGGGATCCATCACAACCCATTGGTGTGGCCAGACCCTGAGGTACTGCCTCCCCCTTCCCTCATCCTTGTCTACCCCTTGGGGGATCTAGGAGTGGGAACAGGGTTCTGACCTAGTAAATCAGATCTCATTGCCCATCATTTGACACATATCTACCACTCCAAGGTGGGCTGTCCTGGGAGACACCCCCATCCTTAGCAGCCCTGTCTTGGCCTCACCCCCAGGTCTATGACCCATTCTGCTTCAACCCAGAAAACGTCAAGAAGAAGTCACCTCTGGCTTTTATTCCCTCTCTGCAGGGCCTAGGTAAGGGCAGCATGTATCTGAGGCAGGAACAGGGTGAAGAGGGCAGGGATCTAGGACTTGTTGTAACCCAGGAGAGTCAACCTCACTCAGACACAAAGAAATTTGGAATATTAGGAGCTTTATTACCTGCACAGGGACTGCAGCCAACCTACGCAGAGGAGAACTGTAGCCCCCAGCAGCAGACTTTCAGCCCTTTTATGATCAGGGTTAAACAAATACTAGCTAGCAAGCTTGTGACAGAGATGGATGTCAGCGGTTAGCAAGGTGCAGTACATATATTCTTAACAGTTACAGTTTTATGGGGTTTTAAGCAAGCTGCAGTTTCTTCCTATCATTTTATTTGCAGAGCATGCAGGACACTCTGGCCTGGAGGTCATCTTTGTCCTTCCTTTTTCTGAAGGATGTTACTTTTTGAATTCCCAGTGAAGGTCAATCTCCAGTTAATTTTAATGGGGCTAATGCCATCTATAAAATCCCCCACTGGTCTTATGTACAGATCAAATCTTTGATTTCTGTTGTTCATCTACTGGTAACCTTTGGTAATGAGAGGCTAGGACTAATAATTTGACAGATTGGACCCGCTCTCTTATGAAAGCTATTAATTTGTTTATAATTATAAGTCCACATGTCAGTCCTAGAAATAGGAGTATGAAGGGGCCTGCTAGAGCAGAGAGAAGAGTAGTGAGCCAGAGGACCAATTATTAGAGGCCTTTGAACCAGTTAATAGGGCCTCTTCATTTTTTGCCCGTTTTGCGAAGCGCTTTCTAAGAACCTGAATACTCTCTGTGATGACTCCTGATCTATTGGCATAAAAACAGCAAGCTTTTCCTAGTGCTGCACATAAGCCACCTTGCTGGAGGAAGAGAAGATTTAGTCCCCTTCGGTTCTGAAGTGCTACCTCAGCAAGGGAATCTAAGGCCTTTTCTAGTTCTTCTACCTGGTCTTGGAGAAGCTGGATGTCCTTAGTGAATGGGGCAGAGAGCCACTTAATATCCGTCTGCCTGGTGATGAGTGCTGCGCACTAGTTGCAGCAGAACCAGCAATAGCAAACCCTGCTAAGAGGGGAAAAAAACGGGGGCTCATCTTATGTAATCAAGAATGTTCCTCAGGGGCCAGGAAATGTTCAGTCCCTGAAGGTCCTGCATATAAGTAGACCTGTGGGATGATATAGGTTAAGATGCAAATTTCTGGAAGGTTTAATGAGGTTGTTAAGCAGCGTGTAAGTCCAGAGGTGCATGCAAAGCAAGTCCCTTCAGGTGTTATTATGACCCAGGGAGGGTTGTCGTCATTGTCTCAGTTGAGGACAATCGGAGTAGGACAGTTGTTTTGGTAGGGTGAGGATCGACAAGGTCCGGACTCACGGTAATGCAGGTTCCAGGGCCCTGAAGGTCTCCGAGGGTGAGTCGAAGATGGGGTCCACAGATGGCCTGGGTTAGGTTCAGGTTGGTCTTTGCCCAGAGAGAGAGATTCCTGCGTTGATCTGAAGAGTCTCCAAAAGCAATGTTAGCAGCGATCCCCACATAATATGGGGGAGTGGAACAGAGACAAAGCCACAGTCAGCTGTGGTATTTGGAGATGTTTTGTTCACTAGGGAGAAAACTGAGTCTAGAGTCCTAAATATAGAGCTGTCGGGAGCCTCGGGTCTGGGTGGAGGTCTTGGAGCCTGTTTGGGAAGGCTGGGTCATATAGTAAGAGAGTTAGAGGTATCTTGATTTGGGGTGGGGGTTGTGGGTTTTTGAAGGTTGAAGTTGAGAACTGGATTTGGGCCTATAGGTTTGGCAGAGATCGTCAGCCGCTGATAAATTTTCTGAATGGTGAACAAAGTCCCAAGGTCTTCACCTGATAAATAAAGCCTTCGTCCCCAAGTTGTTCCTGCAATCCAGCTAGAGTCGAAGCGACTTAGAATAGTTATGGTGGTCGGGTTACATTTTTCAGGATTGTTACATCTTCCAGATCTGGGAGTGGTATGCCTGTGGAGGCGTATTAGAGGGTTTTTTCTTCTCCCCGGACTCCAGCCTAAAGCTAAAGTTTCACATACCCAGGATCTGCAGTAATAGTCGGCCGCTGTTTCATAGGACAGACTTAGGGGGAGGGGATTCGGGACAAGCATAATGTGGCGTTTTCCAGGGGAGTTGCGCAATGTAGAGGGGGCTACACATTGTTCCGGCCGTGCCTAGGCCAGATAGGAATAGTCCTACTCTATTCTTTATTTCTAGGCTTATTCAGATGTCATTTCCAAACAGGCAAGCTAGGTCAAAGGAGAGGGTAGGATGCTCCTTGTATGTCTCATTGGAGGAGATGACAGTTTCATCTATAGTTCTCATGATTACCCATTTGGACTTACTGAATGGGTTACCCTGGGAGCTTGTTAGGAAAGGGTAGTGGAAGAGGAGGAAACAGAAGGCCTGATTAATTTTAATTTTAGGGGGTCCTCCTGCCATACTGTCATCCATTTTTCAGAACCTTGGTCAGGGGTAACTTGTTTAACCTGAGTATGGTGAATCCAATACCTTTTCCCTGAAACCTTTACAGCAGTTGGAATAGATAGAATGACTAAGTATGGTCCGTCCCACCAGGCTTCAAGGTTCTCAGGGTGGTGCCTCTTTAGCTAAACCCAGTCCCCTGGGTTGTACTTCTGAGTCGGGGATGGCAGAGATTGTCCTTCAGGTCGTTGAAGGAGCTGTCTCGTCTCGTCTCGAAGGAGTTGAATAGACTGTAAGGACTTTAAGAGATCTGGGTTATGAAATTCAGCAAGCTGTTCAGAACTAAGCTTAGGTAAAATGGGCGGGGGTCGCCTGAATATAATTTCAAATGGGGTGAGTTTCTTTAGATAAGGTGAGCAGTGGGTACACAATAGTGCAAAGAGCAAGAGAGTCACCCAATTCTCGCCTGTCTCTAAGTGTAGCTTAGTTAAAGTTTCATTTAGAGTCCTGTTGATCCTTTCTACTTGTCCTGAGCTCTGAGGCCTGTAAATACAATGTAATTTCCAATCTATTCCTAAGGTTTTTGCTAGTAATTGAGATATTTTGGCAATTTATGCCAGACCATTGTCGGACCCCAATGCTAAGAAAAGGCCAAATTGAGAGATGATCCCAGAGAGTAGATGTCTGATGACGATATGAGCAGATTCCTCTTTTATGGGGAATGCTTCAGTTCATCCCGAATAAGTATCAATAAAAACAAGTAAATATTTGTAGTTAAATTTTCGTGGTGCCATGTCAGTGAAGTCTAATTCCCAATGTTCTCCAGGTTCTCGTCCGTGTTCACGGGTTCCCGAGGCTGGGGGTTCGGGTGGGCCTGCGTTTACTTTGGCGCAGGCCAAGCATCTAGCAACAGCCGAATGAGCCATCAGTTTTAAGTCTGGAATGTAGAAATGTCTATTTAGGAGGGTCATTAATTTTGAAGTTCCAAGATGGGTGCTCCCGTGCAGGGAGCGCAGTAGGTCTAATCCAAGTGCCTTCGGTAGCAGCAGGCGTTGGTCTTGTAGTTGTAGCCAGCCGTGGGGCCCTTTTGTACAATTAGCCTATTCTCTAATTCAACCTCTTCTGGAGTATAGTTGGGTTGTTTTGGTAGTTCCCTTTGTGGTGGCAGAGGAAGTATGTCCAGGGGCCCTACTGGTCTTGTGGCTATGTCTCTTGCTGCTTGGTCAGCTAGGGAGTTTCCCTTTGTGATGGGGTCGTTCCCTTTCTGGTGTCCTTTGCAATGCATGATTGCTACCCTCTTTGGGAGCCAGATGGCTTCTAATAGGGCTAGGATTTCTTCCTTATTTTTGATTTCCTTGCCAGAGGAGGTAAGGAGACCCCTCTTTTGGTAGAGGGAACCATGAATATGAGCCGTTGCAAAAGCGTAGCGGTTGTCAGTATAGATGTTTGCTGTCTTTCCTCTTGCCCATCTTAAAGCTTGTGTCAGGGCAATCAGTTCAGCCCGTTGGGCAGAAGTTCCTCATGGTAGGGCCTGTGCCCAAATAATGTCTGTCCGAGTGGTGATTGCTGCCCCCACTGGTCTGGCCCCTTCTTTCAGATAGCTGCTGCCGTCTGTGAATAGTTCAAATTCAGCCTCAAGGAGCGGGATGTCAGTGAGGTCCCGTCTGGACCCCGTAAGGGTGTCTGGGCTCTCAGAACAGTCGTGCAGTGGCTCCTCGGGGTCATCATCTGGCATGAGGGTGGCTGGGTTCAGGACTGAGGTCTTGGAGAAAGTTATGTGTGGTGGGTTTAGGAGTAGAACCTGATACTGAGTGATCCTCGTGTTTGAGATCCACCGGTCCGGCGGGCCCCTTCAGAGGGCTTCTGTGTGTGGCCCCCATAGTCTGCAGGTCCTGTCCTAAAGTTAACTTCTGAGCTTCTTTGACTAAGAGCGCTGTGGCTGCAATGGCTCTCATAGAGTTTGGCCAGGCAGAAGCGACAGGATCAAGTCTCTTAGAGAAATAGGCCACTGGCCTTTTCCATGGCCCTAGGGTTTGGGTTAGGACTCCTTTTGCAATTCCCCTTGTTTCAGCTACAAAGAGCTGGAAAGGCTGGGTAATGTCTGGTAAAGCTAGGGCTGGAGCGGAGGTTAGGGCCCTTTTGAATTCCTCAAATGCCTTTTGATCTGTCTCAGTCCAGATAAGTTCAGTGCCCCTTCCCCCAGTGCTGGAATATAGTGGTTTTGCTATTTCCACAAAGCCTAAAATACATAGTTGGCAATATCCAATAGGCCCTAGGAATTCCTGCACCTGTCTCTTGGTGACTGGAGTCGGGATCCGGAGGATGGCTTCAATCCTGCTGTTCAAGAGGGACCTCGTACCTTCCTTTAGTTAGTATCCTAGGTAGGTTGTCTCCTGTGTGCATAGTTGAGCCTTTTTGGCTGACACTTGGTAACCCAGTTTCTGCAGCTCCTCTAGGATGGCTCGTGTTGCTTCTAGGCATTCCTGCAAGGAAGAGGCTGCGAGAAGAAGGTCATCTACATATATAGAAGGGTTACCTGTGGATGGCTTTTTCGGAAGCTGAGGAGGTCTCTGCTGAGAGCTTCATCAAACAGCGTTGGGGAGTTCTTAAATCCTTGTGGCAGGTGGGTCCATGTCAACTGTCCAGAAAAATCCCCCCTCAGGATCCGTCCATTCAAAGGCGAAGATGGGTTGGCTCAAAGGTGATAAAGGCAGGGAGAAGAAGGCATCTTTCAGGTCCAGGACCATGTAGAAGGTCCTGGAGGGTGATATGAGGCTCAAAAGGGTATAAGGATTAGGCACAGTAGGATGTATGGTTTCTATCTGAACATTTACCTCACGTAAGTCCTGGACAGGGTGGTAATCTCCTGTCCCTGGCTTGTTCACAGGTAACAAGGGCGTGTTCCAGGCTGACTGGCAGGACTGGAGAATACCTGCCTCTATTAATAGTCTTCTGATATGCTTAGCAATCCCAACCTTAGCCTTTTGGGGAATCGGATATTGCCGGATCCATATGGGGGTAGCTGCACTCAAGAGTTGAACAATTATTTGTGGTTGGTGTGCAGCTAAGCCTGGGTGGTCAGTCTCGGCCCATATACCTGCAATTTCATCCTGCAATTTCCTTAATAGGTTCTGGTTATTTGTTTCTCTCAGGGTCCCCTTCATATAGTATGTATTCCTCTGATATGGGAACTGACACCACAATTGTCTGTGGTGTCTCCCCTATAGTTAGGGTGGATTCTCCATTTGCAAAGGATATAGTAGCCTGTAGCTTCTGAAGCAGGTTCCTTCCAAGGAGAGGGTAGGGACAGTCTGGCATGACTAGGAAGGAGTGTGTTATAGTCCCCTTACCTAGGTCAGTGATTTGTGCCTGTGTCCAGGGATAGGATTTGGGCTTCCCGAGAGCTCCTACAATGGAGGTTCGTTCAGAAAAAAGGGGTCCATGGGGCTTTTTAAGTACCAAGTAAGTGGCCCCTGTGTTGACTAGAAAATCGATCGGTTGGCCCCCAATTGTCAAAGTTACCGTAGGCTCCTGATGGCCAAGTTTGTAGGAGCCTCGGCCTCTTCATTCTTGGTCCTCGAAGAGGATGCCAGGGGAGTTACTAGCCTGTTCTCTCTCCTTCTTCATGATCCCCTTGGGGCACTCATTCTTCCAATGTCCCTTTTCCCTACAATAGGCACATTGGTCCTTGTTAAGAGGAGGCCTTCCTTTCTTTTCTTTTTGGTTTCCTTGGGGTCCGTTCGTATAGCGACCTTGTGGAGTTATTTTTCCACCCTGGGTGGCTAGTAGAATTTTAGTTAGCTGCTTTGTCTGGCCCATTATGGGATCATCCCTGTTCTGGAAGACTTTAGAGCAATTTTTGACAACTCACTAAGATTCTTTCCTTCAAATTCTTCTATCTTTTGTAATTTCTTTCTGATGTCTGGGGCCGACTGGGAGACAAAGCTATGTTAACAATACGTTTATTTTCATTGGCTTCTGGGTCTAAGGGAGAATAGTTCAGGTAGGCTTCTAAAAGTCTTTCTAGGAAGGCTGCCGGAGATTCATCCCTGCCCTGTAAAACCTCATGTATCTTATTAAAGTTTATGGGCTTCTTAGCTGCTGCCCTTAGACCCCTAAGCAGGAGACTGGCGATAATGGCGTAAGGCTTCCTGCCCTGCGTTGGAGTTGGGATCCCAGTTAGGGGGAAGTGTGGGGAGTTGTTCCTCTTTCTTGGCGGTGCGCTCGGGTGTCCCCTTTCCCTTCCCCTAAAAGGCCTTTCACCACTTCCCTACATAATCTCTCTCTCTCTTGTGACATAAATAACGCCTGCAAAATCTGTTGACAATTGTCCCGTGTTGGTTGATGGGTATGGAAAATAGTCTCCATCAAGGAGATTAACTCTTGGGGCTTCTCCGAAAAGGAGGGGTTTTGGTGTTTCCAATTGTTGAAAAAGGGACATAGGTATAACGCTGTCCTGGAGGTGCCCCTGGCTGCGGGGGCACCTCACAGAGAGGCAACATTGGAACCCAGGAGTCTGGGATTTCTTCCCTTTCACTGTAAGGGGTTCCTCCGCGGGTATGCGGGAGACTATCTAAATTCGAGGGAGGAGCCGATCAAGGGGCTTCAGGAGGTCCCTGTGGATAAGGGGGAGGGTCCAGTAGCCCCTCGATTGGGTCCTCAGGATCCTCTGGCAACACCGGATAGAGCCTGTCCTTAGGGCGTGGCTCTGGCGGTGGACTCTTGGGGGTTTTTCCGAGCCCTTTGAGGGCTGCTCGGGAGGCAATTCCTCTTTTGGTCTTGGGGCGGCTAGCATAATAGTGCGCCCCCGATTTTGGCTTTCATTTCTTTCCCCTCTATATTTGAGGGTGCTAGGCACTTTCTTAGATAGTGCAGTTTGTCATGGGCTATATCTATCCACACATCTATATATATTTGTTGGTCAGAGTGTGGGACCTTATATGTCATAGCTCTGACAGCAAACAATAGGGAGAGCTCAAGTGACCCCTCAGGTGGCCAGTCTATGCCAAACGATGGCCATTCTAATTCACACAGGGTCTTGAGGAAGCCTGGGTCTACTGTGTTCACATAATCACAAGAACACTTAAAGAAATCAGAGAAGTTACTCAGCATTCATTGGAGCGTCCTTCGAGTCGGCTTGCCCCATTCTGTAGGAAAGAAAAGTAGCCGGCACACAACAACAACAACACAAGGACAAACAATAACAGACAGTGAACGTTCACATTCATTCACCAACCGAATCCGCAAGCGGATCTGAAACAGAAGCCAAAAGTCAGAAAACAGTGTCCTGTCCCCACCAGGGTGAGGCAGTTCTGCAGCATCCTGCCTGACAATCACCCGATGCAGCCCTCGAGGAAACGAACAACCGAAAACAGATGGAAAGGGATGGTGTTTCCCTTACCTCCAGACATCCCGGGACGGATCCGAAAAGCTCGTAGTCAAATCAAAAGCCAATTTGAGGCGAAGGATATGGAGGCTTCCTTCGCCTAGTCCGAGGAGGTCTACCCCAAAGGGAGGGGGACCTCGCAGTGATCTCGCTGGGGCCTCCAAATGTTGTAACCCAGGAGAATCAACCTCACTCAGACACAAAGTAATTTTGAATATTAGGAGCTTTAATACCTGCGCAGGGACTGCAGCCAACCTACGCAGAGGAGAACTGTAGCCCCCAGCAGCAGACTTTCAGCCCTTTTATGATCAGGGTTAAACAAATACTAGCTAGCAAGCTTGTGACAGAGATGGATGTCAGCGGTTAACCAGGTGCAGTACATATATTCTTAACAGTTACAGTTTTATGGGGTAAAGGGAGCTTCAGTTTCTCCCTATCAGTTTATTTACAGAGCATGCAGGACACTCTGGCCTTGAGGCCGTCTCTGTCCTCCCTTTTTCGGAAGGATGTTACTTTTTGAATTCCCAGTGAAGGTCAAACTCCAGTTAAGTTTTATGGGGCTAAAGCCGTCTATAACAGGACTCAGACCCCAGGCCTTATAGTGAGGGCAGGGAAGGAGGAAAATTAAAGATGGTCAGAGTTTTGGCTCTCCTTCCCTTTCCTCCCCCGGAGGTTTGGGTAAGGGTCTGGGGAACGTGGTTGGGTGGGCCCAAGGGAGGGACCCCAATGTACTCAGTGCCCCGTCCTCCTGGGTTCCAGGCTGGAGCCAAGGGTATGCCCCGCTCTCCATCCCTGCGCGTGGATGGCGGTCCTGGGCTAGGTCCCAGGCGAAGTCTGAGTCTTCACTCCCTCTCGCCCACAGGAACTGCATTGGGCAGACATTCGCCATGGTGGAGATGAAGGTGGTCCTGGCGCTCACAATGGAGCCGCAGGAAGCTGAAGCTGATCCTGCGCGCGCGCGCGGAGGGCGGACTCTGGCTGCGGGTGGAGCCGCTGAACTCGGGCCCTCAATGACCCTCCACTGCCTGGCCTGTGTCCGCGCTGACCCGACACACCTGCCTTTGTAGATTCCCAAGAATAAAAGTGCTGTTTCCTCTGCCACAGCCTCCCCAGGAGCCATCAGGCGGCGCCTGAGGCCTGCTGAGATCCAGGGGGCTGGGAGTACCTGGTTGGAAGGGACCCTAGTGTCTCTGAGCCCTAGACCCTGACTGTCTCTCCAGCTGACCACAGGGCCCCACGCTGATGGAAGGTTCTCCCAGAGAGCAATTATGGATTTTATCTTTGGGGGAGGTGAGAGCCATGGGAGGTATTTGAGCAGGAGGAGGACCAGGGTTAAAGATGGACTTAAGGGGAACAGTTGAGGCTCTAAGTCATGAAGGAGAACCCATAGAGGCAGATTCATTCCTCCGAGCTGTGGATGCCTCCCAAAGCAGAGATCCATGGCCAGCCCAGAACACGGGAGGAGACCTGGTATCCTCTCCAGGACTCAAGTTCCCTTCCTGCTCTTGTCAAAAGCCCTCCTCCCTTCCCCCCCCCCCCATCTGCCCCTCCCAGTCTGTCTCTCAGGTGACCCCCTGACCTGCCTTTAGGAAGCCCCTCTCTTTCCTTTTGTGGGCCCGTTGATGCTGCCCAGGCAGCCTGTCCAGCAGATGCTGGTTGAGCCCGCACTGTGTACCAGGCCCTCACACAAGTGTGTTTGGAGTGCCCCAGGCCTAGCCCTGACCTTTCACCTCCAAGTTCTCCTTGGGGTGGAGTGGGGGGAGGGCCACCCCTTGACTCTTGAAAATAAAAGCCAGATCATTAGAAACAAAAATCGCCCCCAAGAGTAGGGGTTCCTGAGTCAGACTGCTTGGGTTTAAGTCTCAGCTCTGCTGTGTGGCCTGGGCAAGTCAATTCCCTTTACTGTGCCCTGGTTTCCTCAACTATGCAAAGGAGACACAGTGTGCACCTCAGGGTGGACTACCTGTGCTTGGCACCCAGTAAATGCTCAATAAATGTTGCCATTATTGCTCTTCCTCTCAGAAAGCCTGGCTGTTTATTTTATTTTTTACTTACAATTGACATTCAATATTATTTTGTATTAGTTTCAGATGTACGGCTATCGGTTAGGCAATCGTATACTTTGCAAAGGGATCCCACTGATATTTCAAGTACCCATACCTGACATCATACATGGTTATTACAATATATATTCCCTATGCTGTATATTACATCCCTATGACTATAACTACCTATTTGTATTTAATCCCTTCATCCAACCCCCTAACCCCCCTCCCTTGGGCAACTGTCAGTTTGTTTTCTACATCTATGAGTCTGTTTCTTTATTTTTTTCTTTTTTTTTTTTTTCTGGTATGTGCCCCTAGTGGGAACCGAACCCGGGACTCTCTGGTCAGCAGGCCGACGCTCCAACCGCTGAGCCAAATCGGCCAGGGCTCTATGAGTCTGTTTCAATTTTGTGTGTTTGTTTATTTTGTTATTTAGATTCCACATAAAAGTGAAATCATATGGTATTTGTCTTTGTCTGACTTATTTCACTCAGCATAATACCTTCTAGGTTCATCCATGATGTTGCAAATGGTAAAATTTTATTCTTTTTTATGGTCAAGTAATATTTCATTGTATGTATGTATCACAATGTTTTTATCCACTAGTCTATTGATGGCCTTGTGTGGCTTCCATATCTTGGCTATTGTAAGTAATGCTGCATTGAACATAGGAGTGCATATATTCTTTTGAATTAGTGTTTTGGGTTTCTTTGGATATATACCCAGAAGTGGAATCACTGGCTCATAAGGCAGTTCCATTTTTAATTTTTTGAGGAACCTCCACAATTTTCCATAGTGGCTGCACCAATCTGTATTCTTACCAGTCTGTATTCTTACCAACAGTGCATGATGGTTCCCTTTTCTCCACATCCTCACCAGCATTGTTGTTTGTTGACTTATTGATGATAGCCATTCTGACAGGTGTGAGGTGATAATCTCATTGTTGTTTTAATTTCTCTGATGATTAGTGAGGTTGAGCATCTTTTCACATGTCTATTGGTCATTTGTATGTCCTCTTTGGAGAAATGTCTGTTTAGGTTTTCTGCTTATTTTTAAATTTTTTTTTTTTTTTTTATCCTCACCCGAGGATATTTTTCCATTTTTTGTACAGATAGAGTGGGAGGGAGAGAGAGAGAGAAACATCGACGTGAAGGGACACATCGAGTGGCTGCCACCCGCACGACCAACCAGGGCCGGGGACAAACTGCAACCGAAGTACATGCCCTTAGCGGGAACCGAACCCGGGTCTCTCCAGACCGCAGGCCGACGCTCTAACCGCTGAGCCAAACTGGCCAGGGCTTTTTTTAAATTTTTTTTTTTTTTTTATCTGCTTATTTTTAAATTGGATTGTTTGGTGTGTGTGTGCGTGTGTGCGTGCGTGTGTGTGTGTGTGTTGAGTTGCATAAGTTCTTTATAAATTTTGTATATTAACCCTTTATCAGATGTATCATTAGCAAATATCTTCTTCCATTCAGTGGGTTGTTGATTGGGTTGCAACCAGGGTCTCCAACTCCCTCCTCCCTTGATATATGAAAATAATTCTGAGAAACAGGATGTTCCAGATCACTACCTCAGATATCCAGGTTGAATCACCCTGGGAGTGGAGAACCCCCTCGGTCTCCTTGCGGTTATAACTACACAAGTAGCCAAATCACATTGTCCTCTCTCTCTAAGGGCTGCCAGCCCCTCACTCATAAATCCCCTATATAATCCTGCCTGTTAGAGATACCGGCACTGACCCCGCCTTAGGAGTCAGCCCGGCAGGTAACTTCCCCATAAAGTTCTCTTGCTTGAACCCAGGTGTGTTCCTCCTTCAGCCAACCTTTTAGTTGTCTTTTCATTTTGTTGATGGTTTGCTTTGCTGTGCAAAACATTTTTAGTTTGATGCAACCCAGGTACATGCCCTTGACTGGGAATCGCACCCCCGACCCTTTGGTGGTGGTGGTGGTGGTGGGGTGCGATGATGCTCTAACTGCTGAGCCAAACCAGCCAGGGCAGTCTTTAATTCATTTTGAGTTTTTTCTTGTATATGGTATAAGAAGGAGGTCTAGTTTCATTCTTTGCATGTATCTGCAATTCACCCAACACCATTTATTGAATAAATTGTCTTTACCCCATTGTATGTCCTTTCCTCTTTTGTCATATGTTAATTGACAATATAGGCATTGTTTTATTTCTGAGCTCTGTATTCTGTTTCATTGATCTATGTGTTTATTTGTATGCGGGTACCATGCTGTTTTGATTACTATAGCCTTGTAATGTAGTTTGATATCAGGTAGGGTAATACCTCCAACTTTGTTCTTTTTTCTCAAGATTGCTGTGGCTATATGGGATCTATTGTGGTTTCATAATTTTAGGATTATTTGTTCTAGTTCTGTGATAAACATCATTGGTAATTTGATAGGAAATGCACTGAATCTATAGATTGCTTTGGGTAGTATGGACATTTTAGCAATGTTAATTCTTTCTATCCATGAGCAGGTACATGCTTTCATTTATTTGTATCTCCTTCAATGTCATAATTTTTCAGGTACAGTCTTTTACCTCCTTGATTTATCCGTTATTTTTATGTCCGGCCAATGTGGCTCAGTGGATTGGGCATTGTCCCATGGACTGAGAGGTCCCAGTTTGATTTCCAGTCAGGGCACATGCCCGGGTTGCAGGCTTGATCCCCAGTAGGAGGCATGCAGGAGGCAGCCAATCGATGTTTCTCTCTCACATCGATGTTTGTATCTCTCTCTCCCTTTCTTTATCTCTAAAATATAAATTTAAAAACATATTTAAAAAGCCAAAATCATAGAAACAGAGTAGATTTGTGGTTGCTAGGGGCTGGAGAGTAAGTGGAATGAGAAGATGTTGGCCAAAGGTTACAAACTGACTATGTCTAGTATCCCACTCATTCACATTGACTGCACAACTCTCACTGAATTTAGGTATGGCTATTCCTCTGTGAGCAGGAACAATAAAGACTAGTTTTTTTTAATCCTCGCCCGAGGACATTTTTCAATATTTAGAGTGGGAGGGAGAGAGAGAGAGAGAGAGAGAGAGACATCGATGTGAAAGGGACACATCGAGCGGTCGCCACCCACATGACCCAACCAGGGCCGGGGAACAAACTGCAACCGAGGTACGTGCCCTTAGTGGGAACCGAACCCGGGTCTCTCCAGACCACAGGCCAACGCTCTAACCACTGAGCCAAACCGGCCAGGGCAATAAAGACTAGTTTTTGCCATAAAGCAAAAAAGCATGTGGATGGTGGGAGAGCGAGGTCCCTCTTTTTCCTCAGTGGGGTCTACTGTCTAGAGTAATTGAAATGATGCTTGTCTGCACAAAGAGCAAATGAAATAAAATCGACATAAAAATTGGAAATTTCAAAGCAAGAGAGCCTTGAGGACATGACTCAAGTTCCAAGATAACCTCCTCCAATTGCTGTATGTCTTAGTAGGAGTCATTGGATTTCTGTTTGTTTGGGGATATATTCTTTTGCCTAAAATTTACATTTCTGTCCCCGACAATTTAAATAGTCCCCACCAAATTAGAAAAGAACTAAGGAGTCCATTACCCCTTCCACACATAATGGGGGAATGACGACATCTGTTTTAAGTCTCCTTTCCTCCCTGGGTAAGTCATTTCCTCTTTGGGTGCTTTTAATCATGAGAAAACTCTTCTTTCCCTGGGGCATCCGGGCCTCAAATAGTTAATTATATGGGTGTGTACTGTAACAATCTGAGATAAATGGATGCATTTAGTGCAATGCTTAAATTTTAAACCACAGCATGTTTTTCATTTCCTTTAACACAATAATACAAATATGTAACCCTTTGATTCACTTACTCATATTCTGGTGAATTATTTTCACTACATTATCAGCTGAACACATCTGATAGGGAACTTTATCTTGCTTGCTTTGTGTTTGACTTCTTAGAGCCTGGAACACAGAAGGTACTCAATAAATGTTGGTTTGAATGG